AATAAAGCAATACTTCAGTAAGTTTTATGCCGAACTAGTGAAGATGTGTTTTTCAAGGTAAGGTAAAATAGGTAAGGTAAAATATGCTCTCATCAGCTCTGTCAATGCAGCGTCACATCAAAGGAGACTCTGCTCACTATTTAATGCCCGCGAATGTTTTCAGAATGACTTTGAAGATAGTAAAATCATTCCAGTCATTTTTGAAGCTGTGTTAATATTGTGTTTAAAAGTTGTACCACTTTTGCACTGATCTATTACAGAAGTAAGAGGTCTATTGTTAAAAAAAGCAATACCTCCACTGTTGACCCGACAAGAGCCCAGGATGCATATATAGAGAGGGAAAAAAGAGAATAGTTTCCTTGAGATTCACTTTAAAGCCATTTGAGCATCAAAATGAACAAGAATCAAGAGCAAAGTGGATTCTCACATCTTCAACTTCAAAACTGCTACATATATATATTTATTACACAGCTCCTCACCGCAGCAGTAGAACCATTGATATGAATGTAATTTAAAAACGTTCAACCGGTCATTATTTCTTGAAGACAGGAAGTACTTTGTGGAGATTGGAAACTGTGTCTCAGATCATATGGCCCTGACCTGTGGAGTACCACAGGGGTCGATCCTGGGACCTCTTCTGTTCAATCTCTACATGCTGCCGTTAGGTCAGTTAATACGCAGAAACAAAGTGTCCTATCACAATTATGCAGACGACACTCAGATCTATGTCTCACTGACTGCAGGAGAACATGGACCAGTGGACTCACTCCTTCACTGTATCCAACAGATCAGTGAGTGGATGCAAAACAACTTCCTTCAGCTAAACGCAGACAAAACTGAAATGATTGTCTTTGGTCCCCAGAAACAAAGAGAGAGCGTCATCTGTCATCTACAGTCTCTCCCTAAAACCTTCAAACAAGGTCAGAAATCTAGGGCTAATACTGGACTCAGACTTAAATTTTAATAGCCACAAAAAATCAGTAACATCAGCAGCTTTTTACCATCTAAAAAACATTGCCAGGATCAAAAACATAGTGTCTAAAGCAGACTTGGAGATTCTTATCCATGCATTTGTCTCCAGTAGGTTAGACTACTGCAATGGCCTGCTCACAGGTCTGTCCAAACAGGCTGTAAAACAGCTGCAGTACATTCAAAATGCAGCAGCTCGAGTCCTGACTAGAACCAGGAAGTACGACCACATTAGTCCGGTCCTCAGGTCTCTGCACTGGCTTCCTGTGGCTCAGAGAATAGACTTTAAAACAGCTCTGCTTGTGTACAAATCTCTCCATGGCCTCGCACCAAACTATATTAGTGACATGTTAGTCCCATATGAACCAGCCCGGACTCTGAGGAGCACAGGGACTGGACTCCTGTTAGTGCCCAGAGTCAGAACTAAACATGGGGAGGCTGCTTTTCAGATTCATGCTGCTAAAGTCTGGAACAATCTTCCTGAAGATGTGAGACAGGCCTCCTCTCTGACAATGTTTAAGACGAGGTTGAAAACAGTTCTGTTTAGCTGTGCATTCAACTAAGGGATTTTATATTTATTATTTTATCTTTCTTTTTAATGTACTGTGATTATTTATGATTTTAATGCTATCTTTTTTTTGTTCAGCACTTTGAACAAAGTACAAATAAACTTGCCTTGCCTTGCCATGACTGACCTCTCAAAACAATAATGGCCGCTGCCCTTTAGCAACACACCCTCTGCTTGTAATACAGATGTGTAGATTACTCCACAAGAAGTTAGCCACTGCAGAGCTAGCCACGCTCAATAAACGCAAATACCAATCATCACATTTAAATGTTAATGGGAGAATACATTATACATATACATTCTTAATACACATGCACAGAGGTTTTCAGAAGGATCTGTTAAGGTTTTCATGACAAAAATACTGTTTTAATGCAAAAAAAAACAATCGCGAAAAACCCAAAAGTAGATTCCGGGACATTTTAGGAACATTTGCAGAGGATCGAATTATGGATTTAGGTAAAGTTCATGTATGAGTCACTCACCACTGATGTTCACAATTCTTTGTTCAGTTTTCATGCAGTTCGAGAGAGTTCTAGTTTGGAAGTTGCTAGCCTAACTGTTACTAGCCTAACTGTTACTAGCCTAACTGTTACTAGCCTAACTGTTACTAGCCTAACTGTTACTAGCCTAACTGTTACTAGCCTAACTGTTACTCGCATAGCCACGGGAAAGTTTTTGGGAACTATTTTATTTTCTGTCATAAATAAACCTTTCAGCATTCCTAAGACTGGACTGAATTTTATTTTGTGTGTTCTGTTGGTATAAAGCCGTATAATAAGCAGGATAATGTACGTATATATGCGTGTCTGGGTCCGCTTCGCCCTGTCGGTACTTATTTTCCGATAATGACCTGCGTAATATACATTATCCCTTACATATTATTGTTGAAACTTATTGTACATGATATTGTGTTCCTTGGCCAGAAATACACATTATCTTAAACATGTATCAAAACAATAGTGCTTCGATGGGGGGTACAGCAATTTGAAGCATTGCCCATCATGTGTTTGAAATCCATCCATCCATCAATCCATTTTCTTCCGCTTCATCCGTTGCCGGGGCGCGGGGCAGCAGTCTAAGCAGGGACGCCCAGACTTCCCTATCCACACACACTTCCTCCAGTTCGTCCGGGGGGACCCCAAGGCGTTCCCAGGCCAGCTGACAGACATAGTCCCTCCAGCGTGTCCTGGGTCTTCCCCGGGGCCTCCTCCCGGTGGGACGTGCCCGGAACACCTCCCCAGGGAGACATCCGGGGGGCATCCGGAACAGATGCCCGAGCCACCTCAACTGGTTCCTCTCGACGTGGAGAAGCAGCGGCTCTACTCCGAGCTCCTCCTGTGTGACTGAGCTCCTCACCCTATCTCTAAGGGAGCGCCCAGCCACTCTGCGGAGGAAGCTCATTTCGACCGCTTGTATCCGCGATCTCGTTCTTTCGGTCATTACCCAAAGCTCATGACCATAGGTGAGGGAGGGAACAAAGATTGACCGGTAAATCGAGAGCTTCGCCTTTCGGCTCAGCTCCCTCTTTACCACAACGGTCCGATACAGCGACCGCATCACTGCGCACGCTGCACCGATCCGCCTGTCAATCTCACGCTCCATCCTCCCCTCACTCGTGAACAAGACCCCGAGATACTTGAACTCCTCCACTTGAGGAAGGACCTCTCCACCCACCTGCAGAGGGCAAGGCACCTTTTTCCGGTCGAGCACTTGTTTGAAATCCAGTGAGATAATCCAGACCACTCTCCATTCAAAATAAAAATTCATTACCATTTTAGACCTCAATTGAAAGCTCACACATTTGAATATAAAAACACAATGAAAGGCAGTACGTCTAACCCAGGACACATTTCACCCTTTCACGCCAATATATACATAAGCTAACAAAGAGCCTCATTTGTCGCTCCATCCAGTTCTCAATGGCCACGCATCCTGCTGGGTCTCAGTACAATTACCACACACGGCTAATGCTGAACTGAAGAAAACCCCAGCAAAACCCGCCATTAATGAAGACCGTCAGTGCGGACAGGCCAAAGCCATTTCACAGCTGCAATGCCCAATGCTACAATTACGTTGTCACACATGAAAGGGGAGGAGGAGGAATGCAAACCTTCTGACGCTGTATTGAAAAGGCTTTTTACTTGATGGTGAAATAATTGGATATTGCAGGGGAATCAACGATATAGCCTGTATACATGTATCAACGCTAACTAACGCATCCAAAATTTATAAACGCAATCAAGAGAAAGACAAGGGCGGCACGGTGCCTGAGTTTCTGAGTGTAGTTTGCATGTTCTCCCCGTGTCTCCGTAGGTTTCCTCCGGGTACTCTGGTTTCCCCCACCTCTAAAAACATGCACAATAGGTCTGGCATGCGCCTCCTGTACTAGCGACCCCGCTCCCATCTCTGTGTGGAGTGAGAGACAAATGCCCAAAAATAACAATTGTAAACCGCTTTGTGACTCTGGTCTGTGAAAGGCGGTATATAAATAAAGATTACTTACTTACTTACTTACTTACAAGGAAGAAATATGACTTTTATTTGCCAATCGCATAGAGATACATTTAGTGGAGTATGCTGTTTGAAATGTCAACCCCCACTGGGAAGACTGGGATATTATTTCCACCTGGGGGCTACAGTGGGACTTATGCATGCTGAAAGCCTCATGAGGGTTTTATTTATTCTTTAGTATTTAGCAAAACACATTTATTTGTTTGAATTGTTAGAATATGACAACACGAGACCTTCTCCACCAACTTCCACTGATGTATGCTGTCGTTGTGTCCTTGGGCAAGACACTTAACCCCACTTTGCCTGAAGCCTCCAATGAAAGATCGAGGCTATGCTCTCACTGACAGAGCAGCCGTCCTCCTGTGGACTCACCACCTGCAGAGGATCAGTGAGGGGCTGGTGCTCTGTGACTTGATGCCTCTGAATAGTAATACATTTTTGCTGCCATGCTTGAAAAAAGACTAAATCTGGGGGTGTTCCATATGAAAAATCTTATTTTAAGAACGTCAACGTGATTTTTTTAAAAACCCACCTAATTATTATCACTACTACTTTCCGTTCAGGCATTTTTGTCCAGAAAAGTCGCTCTCGTGGAAAAAGGTTGGAGACCCCTGCTATAAAATCATGTTTAACGCTTTTATAAATAATACACGCATGCTTGTCAGGATATAACACCATAGAACAGGACTTTGGGTCGGAATAACTACTTAACACTAAATCAGAACATAGTGACCATAATTTCTCTCCATTTCAGATTCACTTAATGAGTTTTAGTTTGATACATCTTTAACATTATGCAATAAAGACATATTTTATCATTGAGCAAGTAGACCAAAACAAACTGCCGCCACGCGTAAAGATGTTTCCATTCAGAACAAAACGGGCTGATTCTACTTTATCAGGCGACAGTGTGACTTTCTTCCCATGTGCGTGGCGTGCGTGTGTCTCCAGCTTACCTGTCCAGCGCGATGGCTGTCATGGAGTAGATGCTGGCGAAGACCGCGGCGATTGGAAAGAAGTTGTGGAAGCGGCAGTACACCAGCCCGAAGTACCACTCGTTGTGCACCGCGTAAGTAAAGTTAATAACAGTGTTGAAAGCGGACATGGAGGCTTCGGCAAAGGCCAAATTCAGCAGGAAATAATTGGTGACAGTTCTCATTCGCTTGTGTGCCATAATAATCCAAATCACCGTCACGTTACCGACCACGGAGACTATGACAATACAGCTGTACGCGATGGCCCAGAGCACGATCCTCCACGCCGGCTGTACGAACTGGTTCCAGTACTCTGTCCCATTGGTGTCATTGGGGGGGCTGGTGGTCCAAACAGGCGCACCCGTGCTGTTGTAGAGCGGGTCCATTTCGGAGTCACTGGGAATGCGCAGCTGAATCGCTCAATATTATGCTCACTACAAGAAACTTTGTTGTAAAATAATCACTACATAACTGTCTTGTGAAGAGTAAAGCTGTAAATAAAGCAGTGAAAACACATAGAAGGTGATAGAGGCTGCGACACTGGCACACTGCTCCAATCACCCGGTGCGTAAAATGCGCCTTTACGCGTGTCGCTCTCCAAGACGTGTCCTGCTCTTGAGCGCACGCTGCCTGCTCTGCTCTGCCTCTGTCGGCTCGAGTGGCAGCTCTGTGCTCGCCCCTCCTGTTCCCCCACTGCTAAAAATGAACAGTGGAAAGGCTCTGTCCAATAGGAGCCTTCCAGGAGCTATCGCAGGTGAGTGGGCTCTCAAAGCTCGGCGTTGCTCAAGACCTCTTGTGAAAGTAATTTGATTATTCTATGGACAATGTGTTTACATGTTACAAGAACAGGAAATTAAATTAGGAGGCAATTTAGGCTAAAGGAAGCGTGCACTGTAAGAAATGTGGCTTGTCATATGCAAAACTATTAGTGTCTGCTCCCATCTAATTACAGCGGCATCACTTTTTTCTGTATCATTTTTGCATGATTTGTGTCAGGGGGCAGCTTGTCCATAAAAGGTAAGTAAGAACAAAATAAATGGCCTTGACAGTGCATATCGTTGTGTTTCGCCCTTGAGCTGTGTCTGTCCTCATCACAACGTACTGTTTAATTTGTCCGTTCTGTGCCCTTGAGTCATTCTTTGACATTTTTTCTCAAATAATTGTTTCCCTCTTCTTTTTATACTCTCTGATTGCTGTTCAAAAGATGATCAAAGTGACGGATAAAAGTAAACTATGCATTTGAAATCCAGGCATTACAACAAATATGTACAATGTTTCTCCAGCGCTGTATAACCTAATTAACATAAAACATAGAAAACATAATCAAGATTGTTTTCATTCCCGCATCTCTGCATTGGCCCCTCACTGCTACTAAAGACCGATAACGACGTGGTCAAGGAGGATTATGAGCTCTCGAGGCTGTTATAAAGCCATTAAGTGGGTCCGCTGGCACCCCCCCGGAGACAGGCCCTGTAATGAACGCAGTCAGTGGGCATCAAGGCTCTGAAGCACTGGCCCCCGGGGGACTGGACATGAGGAGCGGAGGGAGCCAGGGTCCTGATGAAACACATTAAGAAAGATTAAATTCACAGCTTTGCAGAAATCTCAAATATCAATATAGCAGTTTGTTAGTTTAAGAGAGGGCGACAGTAGCTCAGTTGGTAGAGCATTGGCCTTTGGGCCTGAAGGTCGTGGGTTCAAGCCCACCATAAGACCTACTTCACGACTCCCACTGATGACTGCTGTCGTTGTGTCCTTGGGCAAGACACTTAACCCCACTTTGCCTGAAGCTCCCACTGAAAGATCTCAGCTCCTGTGGACTCACCACCTGCAGGAGGATCAGTGAGGGGCTGGTGCTCTGTGTACTGGGTGCAGCTCTGACTGCCACCCCCCCGACCCAGAAATGGATTAAGGGGAAGAAAATGGATGGATGGATGGATAGTTTAAGAGCGGGGGGCTACATTTTGTTTCTGCTGTATCTTGTTCAGTTTACTCTGCTGGGAATTTCTACTCTTTGAATTGGCAGCTTTTCAAACAGCGATGCCTGCCAAGATCGGCCATACTGTTAGTGTTTCAAAAAGGATTTAAAATAAGTTCATTTCATTTGCCAAGAAGAGAACAAGTCGGTTTTGTGTTATTTCAAGGAGAGTAGCAGATTTGTCGTCAAGCTCGGGAAGGAGTATGGACAGCTCATTGTGGTAAATAGAAATCAGATTTAGTAAGTAATCTTTATTTATATAGCGCATTTCAGAGACCAGAGTCACACAGCATCTCTCACTCCACACAGAGAGATGGGAGCGAGGTCGCCAGTAATAATAATAATAATAATGCATCAGTTTTATATAGTGCTTTTTTGGACACTCAAAGACGCTTCACATGTCATTATTCATTCACTCTATACGGTGGTGATAAACTACTACTGTAGCCACAGCTGCCCTGGGGCACACTGACAGAAGCGAGGCAACCAGTATGTGCCATCGGCCCCTCCGACCACCACCAACCATTCACACACACACCAGACTCATTCTAGGCAATGGGGATGAAGTGTCTTGCCTAAGGACCCAACGGCAGTTTGGCACTTTACAGCGGCAGCTGCCCCAATGTGGCTGGTGTTCCTAGAGGTTAAGTGTCTTGCCCAAGGACACAATGACAGCAGGCATCAGTGGGAGTCGATGATGAAAATCTTGAGTTGGCCTCGAACGCAGGACCTTCTGGCTCAAAGGCCAACGCTCTACCAACTGAGCTACTGTCGCCTGTTCAGAGGACGCACGCTCTACTAACAGCTACTTTTTTTATCTTTTACAAGCAAAAATGTGATGTGCATGCTCCCCCTGGACTTCAGGCAACATCTGGTCTTTCAATAACGAAGTATACCATCTGTCATAAATATGATTTTCTCCTGCTTCGTGATCTCAATGGTCCCTGTCATCCAGATTTCAAAATGGTCCAATGGGGTGAATCTTGTGTTATCAATCAGGAAGTGCCTGTATTCTCAGACAAGAGGGAGAGTTACATTTACTTCTCTATGGATATATTGTTCCCACATTATGGCATATAAAATCGAACTATGGAACCCCTATAGACCCCACTTCCTGCTCCGCATAGTTGTCTACCTCGCCAATAATACTTATTGGACGAGGTAGACAACTATGCCAGAAACGACCAGGCTCCTACTGCAGATTTCACAGTGTACATACGAGGATCAGAAACGATGTAGTTCTAGCGCCCGGCCACTAGTGGGCAGAGGAACTTTACAACACGACACACACTAGCCCCCACTCTGCAGGCTGGATCTGACCTCTTACGTTTTCACCTGGAACACAGTCTCTGTATAAATTGGACCTATGATTGGCCTGATGTTTGGGCTCATCTTCCAAAGTAAACAAGCCTCAGTTCCAGTTTGTGCTCAGTCCTTCTCTTCCCAGTCATTCCCCTCTGTCCACACTGTCACTGTTTATTCTCCGTATCAAAGAAAGGTCACAATTCCTACACTTCCATCCAAACAGGAAGCGGATGATACGACAGCGCAGAAAACATGGTGTGACACCGCTGCGCTCTCAGGAGGAAGTGAATAATGAATGATTTTCTCAAAAGACGCCCTGCTTTAGTATTGACATGTGGTTTTTCCTCTGTGTTGGTCCGTAGAGCTGCATTCATTACATACATCAGACTGAGGTTGACTTGCACTTCAGCGTTGGCTCAATAGTGGGTTTTTCAGAATTAATTAGTAAGATTATTTGTTTTAAAACATGTAAATAGTGTTGACATGTCCAGTCTCTCTCTAATTGTTTAAATGGGATAAGTGCAAAATCCCTTTTTTAAGATCGTATAATTGTTTTTCAGTTTTGAGATTGATAAATTAAATGTTTGACTAATTTTTGTTCTTCAGTAATCTTTGTTTCTCTTGCTAATCAGATTTGGCAGCGTTTGTGAAGTCATTTTGGCACAAGTCGATTCAAATTTAATCTTTATTGATGCCTTAAATCTCACACAAAGAAAATAGATTTTCCAACAAAATTGCAACATAAAAAACAATACAACAAGTCATTGTCCAATATAGAGAAGAGACATCTGCATGCTTTGAAATGACTTTAAAGGAGCAGGTATATTATTTTCATATGATTCAAAAAAATCACAAAAAAACGTTTATAATTATGATGCATTATAATTGGCCTGTAATAATTATTATAGTTTTAGAATGTGATATTATATCTTGTAGAAAAAATCTGATGAAACAAGTATGAAGGGTATGAAATGCTTTTCATCTGTAACTCACTGTGCCACCACAAGAGGAAGGAGTTTCGCTTTTTCCAAATTCAGATTCAGTTTATTTTCCATTTGCAGTAAAAAAAAAAAAACACATTGGAATACATTCCAAAATTTGAAAAACACGAGCTGCAAACACAGACTTTACATAATTTCACCTGGTAATGTGCCAAAAACTAATTTACAGCTGCATTACCTGACTTTATTTTTGTATTAATTACAAAAATCCAATCCATATCCGTGCAGTGCATTGGGATATACGTCATTTTGAAGAAAAAGTAGAGCAGATTTGTGTTGGCGTGTCATTTTATTTTAGATCGAGTTTTTGTGCAACAAGGAAGAGAATTTGTTTTTGGTCCAGATCGTGACCAATCACAGCGGACCGCTGGCCCCCACTTTCTTGAGAAAAGCCACAGGTCTGTGGTTAGCTGAGGTAAACAAGCGGCGGAGGCTAACCTGAAGCTTCCTGTGTCTTTGTTAGCGGTTACAGCTTACTCAGCGAAACAGCCAAAAGAAAGTCTCGTTCCTTCGCGCTTCCCGAGTTCTATCATTCTATGGTTACGCCACGTGAAAATGTGCGATTCATATTGTGAGATGTGAGCTCCGTAAACAAGTAGCATGAGCGCAGGCTGAGGGGGAGGGGGTAGTGGGGCGCGAAAGCTCTGTGCGGGGATGGTGAGCAGAAAGAGCGAGGCCATCGCTTACATTCGAAAATGTCACAAAGTCAGTTAGTGCAGCTTGAAGGCGATATATTTTTTTTTTAACGAAAGAAACTGCTCAGAGTGTGATGTCATAGAGGCACAATGACATCATACTATTACAGGACTGAGACCGGAGCTTTTAGACAGAAGGGGCAGAGCTACATATTTGTGCCAGAAGTTACTGAGATTCGCATTGATGGATCTAAAAACAACTCCAGGTCTGTTTTTAATGAGAGAATAATATTGCAACACGTCTGCTATAACCAGTAACCAAGTCTGGAAAGTAAATGCAAATGTTTTCTGCCGCCTGTAGCAGTAACAGACTCAAATGTCTTTTCCTGCATGCGGCAGACAAAGCACATTTATAACATTAACCTGCTTTAAATTATTCTGATAAATAAAGCGCCAAGAAAAGTGCA